CGGGGCCGTGAGTCGCGCACGCGCAGCTGGTCCCCGCCCCCCACCCCGGCTGAGACGGCTGCGCCATGGCGGCGGCACCCGCACCCGCGCCCGCGCCCCCGCCGCGGCCTGTCACCCACCTCATCTTTGACATGGACGGACTGCTTCTGGGTGGGTAGCTTCCGGCGACGGCTGTCCGGTTGGGGTGGAGGTCGGGGTCGCCGTTTTCAGGGCCGGCGGGCTCCTCGGTTTCCCGCGCTTTTGAGCCCCAGGAGACGGCTGCGCCATGGCGGCGGCACCCGCACCCGCGCCCGCGCCCCCGCCGCGGCCTGTCACCCACCTCATCTTTGACATGGACGGACTGCTTCTGGGTGGGTAGCTTCCGGCGACGGCTGTCCGGTTGGGGTGGAGGTCGGGGTCGCCGTTTTCAGGGCCGGCGGGCTCCTCGGTTTCCCGCGCTTTTGAGCCCCAGGCCAGCCTAGAAGCGGGGCGGAGGCCCGGCGCCCGCAGTCACGTCTAGGCTGACCCTGCGAGCGTGCGGCCACCGCGTCTACGCGGCCCCAGCACCGCTTCCGGTGGGGCCGCAGCACGTGGGACGCCCTCCCCCTAGGACCACTTGGCCCCGCAGTGTTGATCCCCTGACGACCTTCAGGCCCGCCCAGCCTCAGTTTCCCTGTTTGCAACGTCCGCCGGAGGGTGCCTGCGCGCCTGGTCCAGGACTGCTGCTCCGGGGAGGGCTTGGCTGTAGCATCCCGCGGAGGTGTTCAGCCGCTTTGGACATCCCTGGCCACGTTTGGGAGCATTTGAGCCGTCCTAGCCGGTGCTGGGGGGATGGGGCTGCTGGCGTCGCCGGGAGTCCAAGCAGTTCCACAAGAGAGCCCTGGTGCAGCCCATGGGAAGGACTTATCCAACCCCCCAGCTGTCAGTACTGCAGAGGTGGAGAAACCTTGCCAAGTGACCTAGCCACGCAAGGTCACCAGCAGGCCGGGCATTACCGAGGACTCGCTGGAAAAGGCAGAGGCTGCTGCCCCACCCTTTCAGCTGCCTAATGGAAAGGTGCATTTGAACCCAGTTGCTCAAAACTTTGAGAATCAATACTGTCTGGGTCTGAAAGCAGCTGAAATCTATCAGTTTTGGTGGGAGAGAGAACCCACCAGAAAGACAAAATCACTTAGAAATTCAAACAAAACACTCAAATTTTCACTCAACAGAATGGTGCTGAACTCCACTCAAAGCCTCCTCGTACAGTTGTGAATGAGACATACAAGCTAACCTCCAATCTCCCAGAAGGCTTTGTATATCTAAAAACAAGTAGCCCAGCTTTAGATTGGTGGCCTATTGATTTGATTGCCTCATCGGGCAAAACACTAGTAAGGGAAATACTTGCTTTTAATCGACTAAAAACAAGGAAAGGCTCACACTTTTGAGGGTAATGAATGGTACTTCCTCAAGGGCTCCCAACTAGTGCAGATACCTAAGAAATTGTTAGACTGACTTAATTCTACATATAGTTGACCTTTATCTCTCACCATGTTGCAGAATTGTTAGTGAGGAGACTCATTTTGTTGGGGAAAAAACAAAACTAGTGCTCATTTTAAGGACAGAGATGTGAAATGTTGAATTCCAGCGATAGGACCATCAGGGGATGCCCCTGGACACATATCAGTAATTGAATGATGCAGTGTTAATTCAAGCACTAAATTTGAAAGGAGTCCATTTCAGAAAGCTGGGCATCTTCCCTATAGTTTTACAGGTCAAGAAATTTAATTGTTCCACAAATTGCTTCTCCTTTAATGAAAGTTTCAGGTAGCCTTTTCTGGGACAGCTCTGATTTCTAATGTATAAGCAAGTTGTCTTATTAATATTGTTTTAAAGGTCTCCATGAGTTTGATGCCTGAGGGGTTTATAGCCCTGTAGTCATCGCCTGGGCTTGAATTAATTCACTTATCAACAAGAATTTGTTTTCTTGACCAAATCACCCCTCCTCCAGCCAGTCTTTAGCACTTTGCTCTGGTATGTGTGGTTTGTCCTAGAATAGATCATCTGTGTGTAATGAGCCCTTTCTCAGGTCTGTTTGTGGTATACATAAAATGTGTTTGTAAGCCTGTCCCCAGGAGTCTGCCATAGTACTGCAATTCACTTGGGAAAGTGAAACTGAAAAGTTTTGTGCAGAATAGTTGACTGGTAGACAGGAAGTTTCTTTAGTCGCAGGAGAATATGGAAGTGAGTACAGATTTTAGGGGAAATGTTGACCTATAGTTCACTAAATTACTGTCCTTTGCTGCTGGAAATGTGTGATACTGTCACTGAGGGAAAAGATACTTTCACACGCTTTTTTTTTTTTTTTTTTTAACCC